TCCCCGTGGCCCCGCAGGTGCGCGCGTGGGGTCGCGGGCAAGACTCCAGCCCCGCGGGCTCCCCATTGTTGCGGGTCGGCGCCTGGAGGCGGGTCCGCGAGCGCCGGGGTTTAGAAGTCTGTCCCAGGGAGCCGAGCGTCGGCGCGAGGGAGCCGGAGCGCGGTACAAGCCCGGCACCCGAGGGATCCAGGGGCTGGCGTGGGGTCAACCGCGGGTGGACTGCTGGCGCGCGCGCGCCCGGCCAGGACCAGGGGGGTCGGGGGGCGCGTGCGTGGGGGTTCGTGCGGAGGGAACCTGGGATCGAGGGGGCGCGCGCGTGGGGGCGCGGACTGGAAGCCCGGGGTGCGAGGTCTCGGGCTAGCGGGGATTCGAGGTAGAGGGTTCCGTTCGCGAGGACTTTAGCCGGGGGACACCGGGTCAAGGAATGTGCGAGTGGGGGGTGCGAGCCGGGATCCAGGCTCGGGGGACGCACTAGTGGGGCTCCGGGGCTGGAGGAACACGGGGTCGAGAACGCACGCGTGGTGGCCTGGCAGACACAGTTTCGGTGACCGCGTCGTGGAGGCTGGGGCTGGGGGGTAGAGGGGGGCTTCGGGTTCGGGCCGGAGTCAGTCGGTGCTGAACGCACTCCTTGCTGACCCGCAGGTGCGGCCCGAAGCCATGGTGATCATGTCGGAGTTCAGCGCGGTCCCCTCGGGCACCGGCCAGGGCCAGCAGAAGCCCCTCCGGGTGGGCTTTTACGACGTGGAACGGACCCTGGGCAAAGGCAATTTTGCGGTGGTTAAGCTGGCGCGGCACCGAGTCACCAAAACGCAGGTGCGCGCGCGTGTTGGGGGAGACTAAACCAAGGGGGTGGATCCAGCCAGGGGGTGGACCCCTGTGCTGATTCAGTCCTGCAGAGTTGATTGTCACAATTGTAAACGATGACAGTGTTTAGTCTGGTAAAGGAAAAAAAAAAAGCTTTGTATTATGTTTCTGCATAATTTGTACAATTACTAGGGAACAGCAAAGATAATGACCAATACACCCCCTCCCGTGCAGAAAGAGAAAAAAAAGAAAACACACACACACACACACACACACACACACACACACACACACACACACACACACACAGCCAACCAGCATTGAGTGGCTCCTGTAAAGCAGGATGACAAATACAAGGGATTTTATTTAACCTCTCCTCCTTTAAATAATGTAATGTTAGTGGCTACTTTTATTTTCTCCCAACTTCTTGTGACCTTTCGAAGACATCAAATGTTTGAGAGATTTCATTTGCCAAAAAAAAAAAAAAGTGCAAATGAGATTACTTGAAGGTTTATTTCTAAACAAAAATATCCCCTTTTCTTTTTAAAAATCTGTAGGTTGCAATAAAAATAATTGACAAGACACGGTTAGACTCTAGCAATCTGGAGAAGATCTACCGGGAGGTCCAGCTCATGAAGCTCCTCAACCACCCGCACATCATCAAGCTCTACCAGGTGAGCTGGCTGAGCCTCGCTGCTCCATGGGCATGTCCATCGCTTCTCACAGGCCACACCCTGAGCCTCTGGTCCCTGGAGGTGGCCCGGGTTTCTGATGCTGTGTGGGACCCAGGGAGTACCAAGTGAATAGATTGACCTTCAGTTAGGCTGTTCAGCTTTATGGATGGTTAGTCTCTTGCTCTCTCGGTCATACTTGGTTTGCCTCGTTTTGTCTAGCATTGTAATTTGTTCCCAGTTTGGGACGTGTTGAGGTCCGTCACTGTGAGAATAGCCACATGTATGGTCAGGCTTAGTGCAGAAGGACCAACTTGAGTGAAACTCGAAACTTCCGCCTTTGCAGATGATTACTGGACGTTAAGAAAGCAGCTGTTCTTTCCATTTTTCCTTGCTGTATCTTTGTGATGGGGACAGCGAGCCCTTGTCTCCAGTTTACTCACAGTGCGGAGTCAAGACGAGACATACTTCAGCCCCAGGAACTTGCTAGTTAATCCTGGTGACAATGTGCCTCATCTACTGGTCTGTTGGTTGTTTCCTGATAATCTTCCTCACATCTTGCCTGGTGATAAAGGACCGCTTCTGCTGCCCTGAGCGATGGGTCTAGGTGTACAGGAGCCAGTCCTTGTGAACGTTGTTGTGGATGCTTGTGTGGGTGTGTGAGTCTGGTCAGTGACTCGCAGAGTTCTGGTGAGCCCGAGGTGACTGCAGGAGACAGGATCGTGCAGTTGGAAAAGCTGTGTGTACAGTGCAGTCGAGGAGAGAACTGTAATTTAAAATTACCCCTGGCCGTCCTTCGCGGCACAAAGGCAGACAAGTCATTGGAGCTTGCGTTTGGCCTGTGGTGACAGCTCCCTCAGTGTCTCTTAAGCACAGAGCCCAGGGCTGTGTGCGCAGGGGTCATACTTTATTTCAATCTTCATCTTTAAGTTGTACTCGAAGATAAGTTTCCTCCATGGCCAGTGCTGGGAGAGGGGGCTGGGAAGAGGGCCTCCCCGACCTTCGGAACAGGCTGACTCTTGTGCTGTAGAGACCGATCTATGCTGCTCTTCACGCCTTCCTCTCCTCCCTGCTTTCCGCTTGCTGACCAGGTCGAAGCCATCGCACTGAGGAAATGTTGCCCAGGCGATGGATGCCAGAGTGGATATTTTAGCTCCTGTCTTCAGTGACTCAGCTTTCAGGATTGGGTGGGCTGGTGAGGCCAGTTGGTCCTCTGGTCTCGATACTGATGTCTGGCATTCATTCAGCCGGCCCAGGCATCTCGTTCTCTCCGTCGGGTGGGGGGAGGGTGGTGGGGGTGGAGAGAGTTGGATTGGTTTCATTTGTTGAGGTAGGGTCTTGCTGTGTAGCTCTAGCTGGCCCAGTGCCCTCTGTCTGGATAGCCTTCGACCTGTGGCGGTCCTCCTGCCGTAGTCTCCTGAGTGCTGGGGGCTGGGGTTCCAGATGTCTGCCACCACGATTGGTTTATGCAGGGTTTTAAACGTTTAAAAGATGCTCGTTTTCCTTCCCCTTTTCTTCCATCAAAAAAGGAAAAGCAGGGGTCGTTGACTGCACTGTGTGGAAGGGAGATGGCAGTTAAATTTTTAGCTGAATTGCTGTTCTTTTTAATATACTTTTCTTAGTAAATCTGTGACTCAAAAGATTCCTTAAAAGTATCTTTTCAAGGAATAATAGCATGTCTTGAACCCAAAGAGATCTTTCTTCCTATCAAAGTCCATTCTTTTTCCCTCCCTGAAATGTTTGTTTGTTTATTTATTTATTTATTTATTTATTTATTTATTTATTTATTTATTTATTTATTTATTTATTTATATTGAGACAGTTTCACTGTGTAGACGGACTGGCCTGGAACTTGCTGTGTAGCCCTGGCTGTCCTTGGGCTTTGGCCAGTCCTGCCTCTGCCTCCTGAGTGCTGGGGTTACAGGTGTAATCCGCCATGCTTGGCGCCTCTGAAATATTTAAACTATACAACATACATAAGTGTTTTTTTTATTCATTTCCGAACCAAAAATTTGAATTTTACTTCGTTGCTTAGTTATGATTTAAATTTTTTTAAATGACATAAAGTTGTCGGCCAGTGAATGAATCTGAAGGTGTATGTTGACATTGACCGTTACTGTTGACACATGCCAAGCAATGGTGCTGTGCAAAGAGCAATCCCCTGTAGCTTATCTGGCAAGGCCATGTTCTTAAGGCTTAATGTCTTGTCAATAAGGCAGGTGGGGGTGGGATGTTTAGATTGATCTCTCAGTTTGCTTTTTTGGGTTTTTTTTTTGTATTTTGTTTTTTGTTTTTTTTTTTTAGCTTGAATGGCCAGTTGTCCATAGGGCTTCTGAAAGGATGCCTCTGGGATTCTGCCATCCATGGCCTCCAGAGCTCCCAGGCAAATGCTTGCCCTGCACAGCCTTGTTTGTGGCTCTCTCCCTGTCACGAGCAGAGGTACCAGGACAGACAGGCCCAGGAGATGGCAGGCAGAGGGGCTTATCGGAAGGCATGTGTCTCTGGGTTGTGTTGCCTTCCTATCCTGCTCTCTTTCCTTCAGTGATGGCAGCTTCTTGGAGCAGTCAAAGCTTGTATGGGGTTCAGGTGCATCCATCCTGGCCTCTGTGTGACCCCTTTTCCCCTGCTTAGGTTTCCCTTTTTTTGTTGTTTCAGGTTATGGAGACGAAGGATATGCTTTACATTGTCACGGAGTTTGCAAAAAATGGAGAAATGTTCGGTGAGCTGCATTCATTTTTAGTGTTAGTGAAGCCCTGCCTTCTCACGTCTGCCTGTATTCTCTGGGGCTTCTCGGTGCTTTTTTTTTTTTTTTTGGCCCGGTCCCAGGTAGTGGCAGCCTCAGCATCTTGGGGGTCTAACTTTGTTCTGTTGTCCCTCAGATTATCTGACTTCCAATGGGCACCTGAGTGAAAACGAGGCGAGGAAGAAATTCTGGCAGATTCTGTCAGCCGTGGAGTACTGCCACAACCATCACATAGTCCACCGGGACCTCAAGACGGAGAACCTGCTGCTGGACAGAAACATGGACATCAAGCTGGCAGGCAAGAACGTGTGGCCGGGGAGGCCCTGTGGGGTCTCTGGTTCCCACGCACCCTGCAGCCGCCACGCTTGCCGGTCCCAGACTGATGCCAGTGCCTGTTCCTCTGCCTCACAGATTTTGGATTTGGGAATTTCTACAAGCCAGGAGAGCCCCTGTCCACGTGGTGCGGGAGCCCCCCCTACGCAGCCCCCGAAGTCTTTGAAGGGAAGGAGTATGAAGGCCCCCAGCTGGACATCTGGGTAGGAGCCTTTTTGGACCCTGCTGCCTGCCACCCCACCACCCCTGGAGCTGGCAAGCAGGGCACCAACACAGCCCCCTGGTTATTCACAGAGCCTCGGCGTGGTGCTCTACGTCCTCGTCTGTGGCTCCCTCCCTTTCGATGGACCCAACCTGCCGACCCTGAGGCAGCGGGTGTTGGAGGGCCGGTTCCGCATCCCCTTCTTCATGTCTCAAGGTGAGAGGGGTCGTGGAGGTGGTCTGGGAGCCCTGGGAGCACTGGGTGAGCTGGGTGGTGGCTTTGGGGAAGAAGTGGTGGGCGGGTCTTGGCGGTGCCCGCCCAGCGATCTAGCAAGTCTGCTGTTAAGTCAGGTCTCAGGTTCAGGTGATCAGGCTACAAGAGCGGCTCAGCCCACAGGTGCTTTCCCAGTGCCCTACTTACAGCAGGGACCTCCCCACATACTCAGTCTCCTGCAGAGCCTTATCTCTGCAGTCCCCCCACCATCAGGACCCCCACTTCTGCAGTCCCCTACCTCTACAGTCCCCACACCATCAGGACCCCCACCCCTGTAGTCCCCCCACCTCTGCAGTCCCCCCATTGTCAGGACCCTCCCCTCTACAGTCCCCCCATTGTCAGGACCCCCACCTCTGCGGTCCCCCCCACCTCGCAGCCCCCCACCATCAGACCCCGGGATGCCAGCCTCCCTCACACAGGACTTTCTGTTCTATAAAGATGCCTCGCCTCGTGTGTGCCACAACAGGAGGGAGATTCTAGATAGTTTCCTACAGGGACATTTAAAAAGCCTCTTCCCCGGGTCTGGTCCCCAACTCAGTGGCTCTTTTCTGTAGCAGGGGGAACCTATAATGGCAGCTTCAGGCTTCTTGACTATCACGCGGGTGGTCTTTGCCGGTGTGATGACCTCTGCTGTGGGAGTGGGACCGAGCCCCAGGCTCAGCACGCTGTCCTCAGTATGAGTCCTTCACCTCCACAGACTGTGAGACCCTGATCCGGCGCATGCTGGTAGTGGACCCTGCCAAGCGCATCACCATTGCCCAGATCCGCCAGCACCGGTGGATGCAGGCTGACCCCACCCTCCTGCAGCAGGATGACCCCACCTACTCCATGCAGGGCTACACCTCCAACCTGGGCGACTACAATGAGCAGGTGCTGGGTATCATGCAGGCCCTTGGCATCGACCGGCAGAGGACAGTGGAGGTGAGCATGCCGGGCATAGCCCTGCCTGTGCCTTAGCCCCGGACTGGCGCTGGGACCAGCTTTCTCAGGCAAAGCAGACCATTGCCTGTGGAGTTAAAATGGGGTACAGTCTTAATTTCAGGGCCAGCTTGTCCCCTTCTCTATGGATACTCTTGGCTGACTGGGACTTACCCGGGAAGGATCTCACAGGGAAGCCCAGTGGCCAGCGCAGCCAGGGCCTCGCTCTGACCCCACTCTCCTTGCTCCCCAGTCTCTGCAGAACAGCAGTTACAACCACTTCGCCGCCATTTACTACCTCCTGCTGGAGCGCCTCAAAGAGCACCGGAGCACCCAGCCCTCGTCCCGGCCCAGCCCGGCACCCACCAGACAGCCCCGGCTCCGAAGCTCGGACCTCAGCAGTCTGGAGGTGAGGTTGAGCTCCCTCCCTCCCAGAGCCCTGCTCCCGTCCCCTCCGAGCTCGGAATCCCTGGCTTGGACGTGGCGCTGACTCTCTGGGCAGTTCCCTGGAGCTCATGACAACCCTCGTTGCAGGCTGTGGGGATAGGAGGGCCTTTGTGGACGACGGGGACGGAGAGGGTGGGTCATGGCTGCTCCACTCAGGGCCAGGTTCTGCCCCTCTGGCTCTTGTTCCTAGCGCCTCCTCCTGGCCACCTGCATGGGCGTGTGGCCTCACAGGTGAAGGGCCAGAATCCTGAGCCCCGAGCCCAGTTAGGTAGCCAGCATCCGATTCTGCCAGTCCCCACCTGTAAAACCAGCTTGCTTTCCACTGGTAGTTGGACCCTGGACTCACTTCCTGAAAACCCCTCCCTCCTCTCAGGTGCCTCAAGAAATCCTCCCGTGTGACCCTTTCCGGCCCTCTCTGCTGTGCCCGCAGCCCCAGGCCTTGGCTCAGTCTGTCCTGCAGGCCGAGATGGACTGTGATCTCCACAGCTCACTGCAGGTGAGGGCTGGTCCCCTCTTCCCTGGTGGCTGTGTTCGGCCGGTGCCCGTTCCCAGAGCCCTGGACGTCACCGGCTTCTGTCCCCTCCCTTGCAGCCCTTCCTCTTCCCCGTGGATACCAACTGCAGCGGGGTGTTCCGGCACCGTTCCGTCTCCCCCAGCAGCCTCCTGGACACAGCTATCTGCGAGGAGGCCAGGCAGGGGCCCGGCCTGGAGGAAGAGCAGGAAGCCCAGGAACCTCTGCCTGGCAGCACAGGCCGGAGGCATACACTGGCTGAAGTCTCCACCCATTTCTCCCCACTCACCCCTCCTTGTAAGTGTCCCCAGAGACCCAGCGTCCAGGGTGAGGGTCAAGACCATGCGGAGCTCGCTTGAAATGGGTCCTTTTGCCTGGCACCCTCCTCCAGTTAAGAGTTTTCGTTTCAGTGACCCAGGGCTCGCACTTGGACATGCCTGGGCTTATCTCGGGAATGGGACACCCCTTGGTTGTCCCAGGCACTAAAGGGCAGGTGTTTGGCCTCGGGCCTCTTCCTGTCCTGGGGTCTGAGTGTCACTGTTAGCCTGCCATCTGCCTTCCCACCTGTGGGCTCTGGTGGCCTAGATGAGGGTCAGGGTTGGAGAATGAATACCGTACCACGGCCTCCCTCACTGACAGGCCATGTGTCCTCTCCCCCAGGCTGTGTGACCTTAGGGTGTGTGGTCTCCTTCTCAAGCGTTTGCTCCTCCCACAGGCATAATCGTCTCCTCCTCGGCCACGGCGAGTCCCTCCGAAGGAACGAGCTCTGACAGCTGTCTCCCCTTCTCTGCAAGTGAAGGTCCTGCAGGGCTCGGTGGTGGCCTGGCCACCCCAGGGCTGCTGGGCACCAGCTCTCCAGTCAGATTGGCCTCGCCTTTCCTGGGCTCACAGTCGGCCACCCCTGTGCTGCAGGCTCAGGCGGGTCTGGGCACAGCTGTCCTACTTCCTGTCAGCTTCCAGGAGGGACGGAGGGCGTCAGATACCTCACTCACTCAAGGTAAGGTCCCCTTGTGCCCCATGCAGGCCATCTCTGCCCATCCCCAGCCGGGGCAGGACCCTCAGTGCTCCTCAGACGGGCTGGAGGTACCACCCCGGCTCTGTGCGGCCCTGGCTTACAAAGTGGGCTCAGACCTGACCCTAAATGCCAGGAACAACTATTCTGGGCAACAACTCCTGTTGTGACAGGAAGGGCCAGGATTAAGGGGGGACCCTGACAAACCGCAGTCCCGTAACCTGTTTGGGTTTCTCCATGCCACTCAGAGTCAGGGGGTACCTGCGAGGTCCCCTATGCCTGTGACAGTCCGGGGAGCACCCAGTGCACTGTGTACCCCCTCCTCCATAGCGTACCCAGACACACCTGTCCCATTGGGGAGGGAGTACAAACCCGGACCTGGATAGAAGACCAGCCATGGGGGAGGGGTGGATGTCGGGCTCAGGAGCTGGCAGCTGCCAGGCCCTGTAGGGAACCACTGCCCAGTGACCCTTTCCCTTCCCTTATCCTCAGGGCATAGAAACTCCCAGCAGGCTAAGGCCATGCTCTAGAGCCAGGCGGGCTAACCCCTGCTCTTGTTTCCACAGGGCTGAAGGCCTTTCGGCAGCAGCTGAGGAAAAACGCGAGGACCAAGGGGTTCCTGGGGCTGAACAAGATCAAAGGGCTGGCCCGCCAGGTGTGCCAGTCCTCCATCCGAGCTCCCCGGGGAGGCGTGAGCACCTTCCACACCCCAGCCCCCAGCTCCGGCCTGCCAGGCTGCACGGCGGCCGGCAGCAGTCGGGAAGGCAGGAGCCTGCTCGAAGAGGTCCTGCACCAGCAGAGGTGAGCCTGCCACACCGCTCCTGTGCTCCGGGCCCTTCCGAGGGAGGAGCCCACTTCCCCGGGTGCCGAGACGTCCCCAGTCACGTGGTCCCTGCGCAAGGTCTCTGCAGCCTGGCACCTCGTGGTCCGGGATAGAGCTCGGAGGGGCGGCGGGCAGGTTTAGTAACCCTTTGTGGGTGGAGGGCAGCGGTGACCAAGACGGTCCTGTTGAGCTGGCACCTCCAAGTTGCCACAGCAGCTCAAGGACTTAGGGCAGGATGGCTCAGGGATGTGTCATGTCACACAGCAAAGCTCTGTGAAACCTCGTCCGCCAAGCGCCGCTCCGAGGTGGGTGGGAGCCACCTGGGCGCTGTGGAAACGGGGAGTGCTGGGCAGGGCCCACAGAGTGACCGCTCCCCTCCCCGTCCCTCTGTTCTCCAGGCTGCTCCAGTTACAGCACCACTCGGCCACCCCCGCTGGCTGCCCGCAGGGCCCCCAGCCATCCCCTGTCCCTGTCCCATACGTGCTCACTCCCTGTGACGGCCTCCTCATGTCTGGGATCCCGCTGCTGCCCGCACCTCTCCTCCAGGCTGGAATGTCCCCTGTGGCGTCCGCTGCCCAGCTCCTGGATGCCCACCTGCACATCAGTGCTGGCCCAATGGCTCTACCCGCTGGGCCCCTGCCACAGTGCCTCACCAGGCTGGCCCCAAGCTGTGACCCTGCTGGGCTGCCACAGGGGGACTGTGAGATGGAGGACCTGACCTCTGGCCAGCGGGGGACATTTGTCTTGGTACAGTGAGGGTGGCCCTGCTACACGCCACCCCCCACGGCCCGTTGACTCTTCCAAGCAATAATTTCAGAGTATGTGAAGATGGTTTCGGACTCAAAGCCAAGAACTTTCTAGAAGTGAAACAAGCAATATGTTTGGTGTATGGGCTTTTTAGGATTTTGTTTTTGTTTTTGTTTTATTTTTTTTTTTCCTTGCACTGAATGACCTCAATGATGAGTAGGGACTGAAACTTTCTGAAGAAAAATAATAATTGAGGGTGTGTCATATGGGCGGGTGGATGGGAGGGGACGTGGGGTAAGGGAAGAGGCCCGTGCGGCTGGGGTGAAGGAGAAGCGAGGGGCCACGCTGCTCGGGGACCCCTACACTCCCGTTCACAGTTCATCACCGTAACGTGATGAGCGCGGACGTCCCCGGAGGCAGCGGCGCCCAGCATGGCACATGCCTGTGTGTTGGTTGGCATCGGTTTGGGTTCGGGTTTGGGTTCACAGCTCTCCACTTCTGAAATGCTCGTGCTTTACCAAAAACTGTGAACTTGCTGCTCTCCGTGTGGGTTTTAGAACAGCCAAGACCGGCCTAAGGGGAGACCGCGTGCATTGTCGGGATCTCCCCGCCAGCCAGCCGGAGGACGACCTTGTCGTATTCTAGCTTGAGTTTTGTAGCCGCTCAAGTCAGTTTGCCAGGCTTATTCAGAGGAAACCACAAAGGACTGGAAGGGGTAAGGACCTGCAGGTGGGTGCCCTGTCCCACGGTCACTCGGCCCAGAGCCCTTCACACCACAAGGAAGCCAACAAGTCCCTTCCTGCCGTGTATCTCGACTCCGCTGCTAATGACCAGATTTTTACGCATTTCATTATCAGGGTCCAACAAGAGCACCTGATGGGGAAATTGTGCAATACCAAGGGGGCTGTGACCAGAGGGGTCCAGGCAGCCAGCGGGCATCTTGGTTATGACCACCTGCCCTTGGTCTGGGACCTTTCCTGTTAAAAACCCTGGCCCCCAGGCCTGGCCTCTGTCTGGCTTGCTTTCCAGGAAGATGAGAAGTGTAGGTCAGTGTTTGTAAAGTTTCTTTTTTTAAGCAGATACTGTATATGTATATAAATAGGAGACAGACACTACTTATTTTTTCTATTTTCTATACACTTTTGTGTTCCTGGCTTAAACCTCCCTTGGTCACATTAAGAAGTGTCCCCCATCCGCACCACACTTGTGTTGAAGGGGCCGCGGGCTGCCCACCTCCGGCACAGGGTAGAGGTGTCAGGGAAGGGGTGGCCCCACCTGACGAGTGCAGCTCTGGAAGCAACCAGGGATGTCACCCCTTCCCACGCTTACGTCAGGCATCTGTCCCTCTGCCTCCCCGGTGACTTCCACTCTGGCATCTCCACCACCGCAGTATTAACCTGAGGTCGTTAAGGGAGAGGGAAGGAGGCACTTTTAAAAGCCAAAGATTGACCGAGTTACCTGAGGCCAGGAAGAGGCCGCGCTCAACCCGATGTCACGGCGCGGTCCTCCCTGTCGGCCCTGTGGCCCGTCTTGTGCCGCTTGCTCTCAAGACAGGTGACAGACCATTCTTCTGGGTCAGAACTGGTGCCCTCCCTAGAACAAGCCAAAAAGTGACCCTCCTGCCGACTCACCAGATGCGTGGATCGGGGAAGCACCCAGCGGCCTGGGCGGCCAGCCCTCGTCTCCCACAGTTCCTGTCCGGATACCACAGATCAAAGGCCTGGGCTCTGCTGTGTGTCAGAAGCGACAAGCACTTTACTTTCTGCCAGTTTTTTTTTTGTGTCTTCTAGTCACTGTCAACCTTCTCCGGGGCACAGTAACGTCCTGGTTTTTAAGTTCTTGTTTTTTGGCGAGTGTGGTGTGCTTATGTAGATCCTCACAGCCCTGTCCTGGACTGTAATGGAATCGCCTATTTAAAGACACTACGTGATCTCAGATGTATATAATGGTTTTATTGTTTTTGTTTTTGTTTTTTACTATGATGGAATTGTTTCATTTCTCATGTTAATGTGAGAAACGTATGCCAAATGATTAGTTGATGTATGTTTTTTTAATTTAATATTTAAATAAAATATTTGGGGGGAAACCTTGACCTTCCCTTGGTTCACCTCTGGGAGCGCATTCCTTTGAGACACTGTTGGGAGGCCCCCCCGCGGTCTGGGGCCTGCTGTCTACAGCGGGCTGAGCTGTGTCCAGGCCTGCCTTGGTGGCCTGTCTTGGCCCAAAGTCTGCAGTAGGCTTTTCCTTCCCTGTGGCCACTGCCCTCTTTGGTCCCCCTCCTTCCTCCAAATGCTCTCTGGATTCCTTGACACATTCTAGAAGTTTTAAGGCTTTACAAGTGTTAGAAGAGTTTCCCAGGGGAGCTCCCGTGGTCTGTCTTCACTGCCTTCCAGCATAGGGCAGTCTCACACAGCAGCTCCTGTGGGTAAAGACAATCCCTCAACTTCTTTATAAGTGGAAGACCGGCCCTGGAATGGAGCCCGAGTGCCCTGCAGTGGGGAGGTACCATGGTGCAGACTCCATAGGAGATAATGGGACAGCTCTTTCCCTCTCTGGGCCTGGACCCCAAAACTGGTCTCAGATGCACGCCAGGTTCATAGGAGCACAGTCAGAGGTCGAAGTTTAGAGGCAAGCCCAGTGTCCATGTATGGATGAATAGAAGGACCAAATGTGGTCCCTCCCCATAGTGGAATATTTAGCCGCCTAAGTGAAGAGAACCCCAGCCTGAGTGAATCCCAAGGATGTGCCCAGTGGGATAAATCAGTCACATCAGGCAGAGGCAGTATGACTGTATTTCCATGAGGGCCTTGGAGTAATCAAACTCACAGAGTAGAAGAGCAGGTTAGGCAAGAGATAGTGTCTGCCTTTCGCAGGGACAGAGATCCAGCTTGGGACAGTGAGATCCTTCTGGAGGTGACGGCTGCACAAACACGCGCTTGAATGCCACTGAGCTGTGTGCTCAGAAGCAGGAGAGCACATTTCATGTTGGGTCTGTTATGCCACAATAAAAGTGTTCAAGAGAAAAGACTGAGTGAGCAGACAGCGGCTGCCAGAAAGAGCCAGAAGGGGTCGTGGCCGAGCACAACGAACTCAAAACAAGGACATACCCCTGCAGGTGATGAGAACCCAGAATCTATGCCAGGGCCCTCGAATGTGAGGAGCATTGCTCCCAGGGGACAGCCCAGCCCTCAGACTGCTAGACAACGGGTGGAAGGCTGTGAGGGTGCCTCCTTGGATCCCAGTGAGCCTTGGTGGCTCATGCTGCGTGTTTCAAATGGTTACCACATCTAGACTTGCTAAGCCAGTCATCCAAGAGGAGAGCCAACCCAGACAACACCTCTAAGAAACCTTGGTAGACCAGGTCCCACCTTGGCTGTGTGTGTTCTTGGTGGCGACATCGCTGAGGCTCAGGACAGTAGGCTTAGTTCAGATGTTCAGCTTGACTCCATGGCGTATGCAGTGGCCGTGTGCTGGGAGAACCTGCTTATTGAGTGAAAAACTGAACCCAACTCCAGTCAACTCTTGTCTTGGGATCTCCCTGTGTGTTTGGCTTTCCCACGTGTTCTTGTGAAGTAGTAGACTGACATATATGTCTCTGCTCCCCACCTAGGTGCTACTCTCCAAATGGGGTATGTATGTCATGTCATGGTGCCCCGGAGAGACTGGGTACGGTCCCATGTGAATAGCTCCTTAGGAAACAGTGTCAGCTTCATGTCCCCCAATGGCTTTTTCTAGAACGTGTGGCCTTCCAGGAGGAGGAGGATGGAGATGATAAAACATCATTCAGATCGCTCAGGTTGAAAATCAGAGCCCCGGGAAACTTCTAGAAACTCTGTGGGACCCTAGAATTCTGTCCTGGGCTAGTTGATCTCACAGCCTTTTCCAATCCCTCTGAGGAGGAGCAGCCTTGGTTGCTGTGGGCGTATGAGGTCCCTTGCCCGTGGAGAGGTCCCTCCCCAGCCCTGCCCAGGTCTCACTGCCAACATTTTTGCTCTGCGAATGGCCCCACCTTCCCAGGGAGTTTCACAAGATGTTTACATCAGGGACGTGTTCGTTCCTGTCCTGCCACTAGAGAGGCAAAGTGGTGCTTGAACACACCCCTCAGCGCACAGCTGCACTTCTGAGAGATGGGGCGTCCTGGGGTTCTGAAGCTTTCTTCCTCTGGACCCCTCTGGCTAGGGTCCAGGCATACCCTGGAACAGCGACCGCTGCCGAGCAAGCGGCTGCTTACGTCCTTGCTAATGGAAGATAGAGCCGTGCCCATCCGGCTCAGCACACAGTGTCTCGGTGGCTAAGAATGTGGTCTTTGCTGTCACATGCCTGCCTTTGTGTCCTAGCCCTTCCAGTCCTGTGACACTGGACAGATGACCTGGATGGGCTGTGTATTAGTGTTCTTGTTTGCGACGTGGTATACTCAGCCACCGGGTCACCTCTTAGGGCCTCGTGGGTTCTGACTAGCTGTGACACACAGAGACAGCACAGTGGCTGCCTGGATGCAGTGAGCACTAAGCAAACAGTGACATCCCTAAGCGTCACCCTCAGCAAGGACAGGACAGAACACCCCTCCTCCCACTCCAAGAAGGAGTTGTCAGCTGGCCACACAGCTCCAGGCCCACCCACCTGTCCTAACACTCAACCCGGAGGGTACCAAACTCTTACAGAAAATAGGAGACCTCACCCAGCATCTGGCTACGTACAACTAGGTGTTTTTAATTGCTTGATGGCAGGCTGGCTGGATCTGCAAAAATACAGGTAGGAAGAACTTTTGGCAATCTCCAGGAGCGAGACCTCCTGCGGCTTCCTCTGTATCCCAGCATGCACTAGGATGTGAGGCTGTTCCAAGCGGGGCCTTCAGAGCAGGAACTGAATCTGACTGAGAAGGAACTGACTCCTGGGGCTAGAAGAAAAAAAAAAATCTAGTTTTTCTTCTAGAATAAAGTGGGGTGTGGTAGAGGATGCCCTGATGAGGGGTTTGGCAAGCACCGACTGAGGGAAATGTGACCTTGGTCTTGCAGTGTGGGCCCTGCAGAACACCAGGGTTTCTTTAAGGCCTGGGAATCTGGGCGTGGCTTGTGGCTAGGGGTTGTTAAGTGGAGTTGAAGTGTTTCGGCTCCCATTCCTCCGAAAACTGCCCGCCTCTCCATCCACTTTCACGATTGCTATTTTGGCTATCTGAATGTGATTTCTCTAAATTACTGAAAGGACTTGAAAACACTCAGGAGACCCAAGTGGCCAGTCCCAGCAATGCTGGTGTCTTCCCTTCTCCCTGGGATAGCTCCGGGGTGGACTGGAATCCGGCTTCCCCGAGCAGGGGCCGGAAGCTTTCTTTGCAATCCAAGAGAAAGATGCATTCTTCTTTTCTTTTTGCAGACAGGATCTCGTCTTGTTAAACCCCTGCTGGCCTTTAATTCTCTGTCTAGTCAAGGATGACCCTGAACTTCTGATCCTCCTGCCTCTGTGTCCCAAATGCTGGGATGACAGGCCTGAGTCACACAGTTGGCTAACACGGTGCTGGGAATGGAACTGAGACTTCATCCTTGCTAGGCAAACACTCTAGAAACTGAGCTACATCTCCAGGCCCCCAAAGGTGCATCTTTAAAGTTCTCCAGCCAGCAAGAAGTCGGGTGAGAAGCAAGAACCCCCCAGCTTGCAGAAAAGAGGGGGGAAGTGCAATCAATCCCAAGCCCCTGTCCTGACTTCATGTTCAAAGAGTTTGGACCACAGATGGTCCAGTGCATGCCGCATGTGGAGCATTCCTACTGGGTAGTAAGACATGCTGTCCCCACCCCAGGTGCTAGAGGACCTACTTCCTGTCGCTGTGGGTTGGCTGGCATTTTTCTAAAGTTTTCTACAGAGACACACAGTGTGGCTTTCTGGGTCTGGCTTTGTTCCTTGGCATCACTGGGTGGAGACTCATCGAGTGCTCCATGGGTCACCAGCTCACCTCCTCTAATTGCACGCCATCCCTGGTGCATACTCATCGCAGCGTGTTTACCCAGCCACCTGGCGATGGGCACATGGTTGTTTTCCAGCTTCGGGCTATTAGAAATGATGCTGCAGTGTTTGTGTGCCAGTCTGGGTGGGGACGGTTTCATTTCTCTTGCGCGATATAGGCCAAAGGACGACGGCAGGACAGTATGGCTGGACAGCTGCCAGCCTTACCTGAGGCTGCCACACTGTCCTGCAGAGTATCTGCTCCAACTCACATCCCCACCTCCAATGGACAGAGTCCTGCTCACATGCGGCATTATCAGTTTTTTGCTCTTTAGCCATGCGATGCTGTGTACGGTGGGGGCAGCGCCTTTTTGCAATTTTACTTTGCCTGTTTACCACCATAGAATGCAGGCTGGCCTCAAACTTAGGACCCTCCCTCCTCAGCCTCCACATTGTTGGTATTGCTGGCGTGCACCACCTCACCCAAACCAGTTCCTTTTCACTAAAGACCTTTAAAATCATGTAATGGACCAATAGTCACCCTATTTCTCAGGTTTATTTCAATTTTTTCTTTTTTTTTTTTTCTTTTTTTGCTACTTTTCCTCTCTGTGGTGCTAAGGCTTGACACCAACCTCATGTCTGACCTGCACGTCCCTTCTCTGCTACTGGCCACACCCCTTGCTCCTTCCCAGGATTTCACAGGGTTACCTGAACCCTTATTATTGAATTATTGGCATTCTCTATATATTCATCATGGAAGCCTCTTTGTTATGTGGGTTTGTGTATACATTTGTAAGGAGAGAAAACAATCTTTCAATGTGGGGCTTGCCTTCCCTTTGACAAGAGATGAAGTTTTTCGTAAATTTAACCTGTGCATTTTGACAAATTCTAATCCATCCTTTTTTTTTTTTTTTTTGTCCTGTGGCCAGTGCTTTTTGTATCTTGTCTAAGAAATCTGTCTACACTGATGTTTTTAGAATATAATTTTTATTTGTAGGTCCTTTGTATCTTTGTAGGGATTTTCGGGACATCTTGCCAGTGTCTGAATTTAAATGTTTAAGAAAGCGGGTTTCATTCTCTTTCTTTCATGTTTGGTGGGGTTTGTCACTGGAGGCATTTCTTTGTAGGAGGCTTTAAACTCCAAATTCAATTTAAGGAATACATCTAGAGCTC